GCGGGGATGGTGAAGGCTGCCGTTCGGGGTAACTTAATTCTGGGTCGCGTCTTCTGTCAGAAATTAGGTCTCCATTTCCAGGGAACCAAGAAACTTTTCTTCAAAATATTGATGTTCAATTATTACCATTCATGGTTACCCAGCCATTACAGATTTACGTGGTCGTAAAATTGGCCACGGAACACTTTTTACGACAGTGCACGGTGAATGAAAAATGTTTTGAATGAAGATGACTCGAATGAGTCTCTTTGGTAGTTTTATTTTGGTTCTTTCACCCCGTACTAAGAACTATTTAAAAAAATATGTCAAATTTGAATTCAGCGTATTAAATATTTAATATTTAAACACTAATACTATTGGATGTCGATGACTTGTCTCGAATTTAGTTTCTTTTGCAGTTTTTGTTTTTTTTTTAACAGACCTTGCGTAGAATGAAGTTCCTGTTGCTCTGTAAATCTGTAATGCCATAGATGTATGCTGTGGAAATAGAACGATGTTATCGATCTCCCCAACGGGGGTTGCCACAGTATACACCGTCTATCTATCTTGAATACCTAATATTGAAACAAAACAACATTCTTTCTATTCTGAAAACTTCACGAAAGCTGCACGTTGAGAATTATATATTGCCATAAACGATATTAATTATTGAAGACCATTGCAACATTCTGCAAGAATTATCTTTACTCGATCAAATAGTCTTTCGTCAGTTTGGTTGAATGACCATTAGCTTATCGGGGAACAATGGCACGGAATTCATCCATCAAGCTCTTACTTTTCTTCGCGACACACAGGTTGGGAAACGCATTAAGTTTACTCGCTGAGCTGATTTTCTGATGATCTTTCCATTTACGCCAACCGACCAAACATTTCGCAAAAAGTGTTATGAAAGAAAATGCAGAACGATTCGGAAGGGACAGTGCTATGTTTAGATTTATGGAAGTTATATTTGGAACTACGGAAGAGTTTACTATCGGTCATCGATTACCGACACGACACTGAACATTGTTAATTGCCGCGCGGTTTGCTTTGTTCCAGGTCCGTGAAGAACCCCCTGGAATTCTGGGGCGAGATCGCGAAGCAATTCTATTGGGAGACACCAGCAATGGATGAGAAATTTTTCTCCTTCAATTTTGACCTGAGCAAAGGGGATATTTTCATAAAATGGATGGAGGGCGCGTCCACGAACATAAGCTTCAATTTGCTGGACAAAAACGTGAAGACCGGAAACGGCGACAAGATCGCCTTTTACTGGTAAGAATGGCCGAATTGTTATTCAAATAACCGCGATCGAAACAGATTTAAATTCTTACGGAACTGGGCGAATTCTAAAGTAAAAACGAAAGAACGGAATCAAGATTGCAAGTATAACAAATGAGAGCAAGGGATGATTTTCTTGATGAGAAAAACTTGACTTGAACAAAAGGAAATCGTGTACTTATCGCAATTGTACATTTGCTCTAAAAGTTAAATATTAATATCAGCGAAGTAGTATTTCATTTTGACTCAAAGAAAATTAATAATATTTCTGTTTGTTGAATCGATTTTGATATTGTCACCACGAGTTTGACTCGATGTTGTGAGCCAAGGGGTTAAAATAACGATTTGTAGAGCCGATTTCAACAATGTTATCGGCGTCTCATTGGTATGCAAAATACATCAGCCGTTTGTAGACGCAAGTCATTCGAGCCTCGTATAAGTAATACCATTTTTCTTTCGCTTTCATTGTGTTACACGTAGTCTTTGAACGTGATTTCAATAGGCCAGGGTTAAAAAGACAAATAGAACAGACTTTAATAGTCTCTGAAAACGATTTCTCACGATCTCTTAAAAACTTCCGTTACTGTCAATACCATATTGTATTAACGCATAATGTACATTTAAAATTGCTGTAATTATAAAATGAGGCAAACCACACATAATTGAATTTTACCATCTGACCACAGAAAAGTTTGAATAAAAATAGCGTGACGTATACAGTTTAGTGGAGAATATTTTGTTAACGTTATCCTTCCACGGCAGACAAACGCGGAAGTTGGAAATTTTATGAGAAATTGTATGCTCAAATGATCGATCAGTGATTCACGTCACGCGGCCACTCGGCTAGTCATGTCGTACGATGTTCCCTGATTCGTCGAAAATTTGGTACACTGCCGGTGAACGTGTTCAGATTGGTCGGCTACACGTGATTCGATCAGCTCAGCTCACATGACAGAAAATTAGGTTTGTAGATCTGTGCACGTAGTGCGGAAATACAAAATCGCGGGCGTGCGCCAATTATTTGCGTATTATTACACAAATTATTACACGGTAAAATACTTTTAAATTAAAGTTAACCGTTCTTCGTTTTCCTAATTTAATTTGACCCTCGGTGTTAATTTGACACAGTGGTAAAAAATTAAAACAATGAAGAGATAAATAGTTAAACTTGCAAAATCATTAGAATAAAGATCACGGAGTCTCAGATACATTTACCTAGACATGGTATAATAACGTCATTACTTAGAAGAAAAATGTGTTAAATTGATACAATGGTCAGATGAGGGTTAATTTGAATAAAAATGATAACAATCTTTTAAATTTCCACATACAGAAAACATTCAGCATTAATTTTAAGAAAAGTAGCGACAATGTCTCATTTTTTTTTTTCGGAATAAAAATCAAATTATACCGCAATTAAATCGAACACGAAATAAGAAGCATGTACTGGTCACGCGATTTCTTCTTGCGTCAGATTATGTTAACGATTGAAACGGATGAAGAGAAAAAAAGTTATATGCAATTGAACTTCTCCTAAAGAAAAAGATCTAAAGTGTAAAGTCTACAATTCGCCAACGTTACAAAGTGCCGGTGACTATAAAACTGGTTCAAGTCAAAAAAACCCAAAAAATTCGATTTTTCGAAAAAAAAATTTCGAAACGAAAAATACATAACTCACATCACTTTCATAATTACCGGCACATTTTAGTACCAAGATACATATTTTTTAAAACTAATTAACATATTAGCGTTTTAGTATGAAACTCTGTCTTTTAGTTAATTTTGATGGTTCTTTGTAATGAAAGTGTTTTACAGCACACTGTAATTTTTATGCGTCACAAAATTGTTTAAAGCATGGGTTGGACTTTCTCCTATCGATTTCGAATACTTATTTGCATGAATTTCCATGACACGTGGATAACAGTGTCAAAATGTAAGTCATCAGTGACATATCAATTTAGTGTTATCGATGTGTATTTTAACGTACAGTGACCTCTAATAACACGTAATCTGTAAAAGTAAATAAATGAAAAACTATTTGCAAGCAAAAAGGGATGACGTCTTTCTCCCGGTGTTACCTTACGATATTTTCGTCAAGCAAGTTATCGTGAAGATATCTCGAATCTCAATTACATTGTCAACTCTATGGACTACATACACTTTCAGTGATGAACCATAACGTTTAAGGGGTTAAAATCATTCGTCGAGGTAATCTGTGCCTTCGTGTAATTCCCGTTTCCATGAATTCGTCTGAAAAATATGAATTTGCATAAACATTCGCAATTCCAATCATAGTCAAAAGGATGTGACAAATATCAAATCGGAAAGTAAGGTAAATTGTATTAATTGTAGGAAAAAATATCTGTTTTCCTAAATTCTTATTTGTATTGTGAACCATAAGTGTGTCCAATATTAAATCAAAGATTAGATAAAGTAAATTGTATGAATTGTAGGGAGAAATAATTGTTTTCCTCAAGTTTTGTTTGTATACGGTATTAATCAACTATGTAAACCGCGTGTAATCGTTATCTTTACATAACTTCTTGCCGTTACGACTACATACTCTGCAATCGTACGATTCGCAGGATCACGCGACTCCGTTCACGACGTGTTCTTCTCCCAGACGAAACGAATCTGTTGATAATACAAAGCACGTCTGGCGATACAATGAACTTGACCTTACTATGCAGTGGAATCTTTAAATTTGGAAGAAGTCGTGTTTCTCTCTTTTTTTTTAATCCGATCAACGTTGTCGACTAGTGACTTTAAACATTCTAATCTATTCCTGCGACCAGACGCAAGGTTACGTTACGTGAATTCAAAATTATTGTTCTATTTTTGTTTCGAGCGTGCGAAAGAATTCTTGAAACTAAGTGAAAATTATTCATACGTAAAGCATCGTTTCACTATTGAACAGCGTGTCTGCACAACGTTTACGTTGTAAACGAATCCACTGCGTCAAAAGGTCTAGCCGTTGCTATTCGAAGCTAGTGGTAATTATTTAAATATTCTAGGTCGTGGTATACGCGCGAAAACATTAATCGTGAACTTTAACACTTGTTTTGTAGCCACGTGCGCGCGAAAACGCGGGATCTCGGTTGAAATGTATTATGGAAAAACATGAATACAGTTATTCTGTCTAGGCTCGAGCATTTCTTTGTGTTTCTTTTTAAACTTATACCATAGTTAAATCTTTATTTGATGTGGAAAAAACTTTCAGTCTGCGATAAATTCGATCACCGGCTCACTAGTGAATATATTCTGTTACACCGTTAGTAAGTTTATTACAGATTATTGTTATATTAAGTGTTCGAATAAGTAATCCATTATGGTCAAATTCAATAATGGTTTTAGAGAAAATCAGAAGCGCATGCTGTTTCGTTCATGTTATATAAATTTACGATTAAATGAATTGTTTTAATCGGATGACGAAGAATCTAAAAAATGATCAAATATGAGAAACTCTTATGTTTTATCTCTGTGGTAAATCAACACGTGGGATTGACACCTAAACCGATTCATTTCCGATTATGTAATACGCTAAAATGGGGCAGTCTATTAATGTTTTTCTTAATGACGTAGTTGGAACAAGTTTTCAATTTTTCGTACAAGTTCGAATTGACATTTGGATGATAAACCGATTTGTGTATGTTTGTTTCAGGGAGGGCAACGATCCGGAAGATTACTCGCGGCTGACATACAGGAAATTATTGGAGGAGGTATGCAGATTCGCAAATGTTCTGAAATCGAAGGGAGTGACGAAAGGAGATCGTGTCGCGATTTATATGCCAATGATCCTGGAGCTTCCTGTTGCTATGTTAGCTTGCACCAGGATAGGTGCCATTCACAGTGTAGTGGTAAATATTAACTTTTTCTTTAATATTATACTTTTCGAATAGTACCTTTTCACTAAAAATCTATTGGGTTGGGGGAAAGTTTTTTTCGTTTTGCCACATTAAAACGAATGCAAGAATTTTGAAATGTTAACAATTTATATAATCAACAATTTAATATCCTGCATTATAATCAACCAATAATATAATTTTCTTCACGGAAAATTCCGACAAAGAGATTGGATTCCCACCAACATAATAGAAATTTTTTATCGAGCCTAAAGTTTAGCCGTTAAATTAGATTAAAACAACCAAGCTTTTATTCCAATGAATTCTGTGTGATAATCAGACATAGTATATATCTATAATCTGATATGCTAATGCCTGTTCTATCAAACGAATGTATCTTCGAGTTTTCAAACAAGTTTTAATCAGTCTTACTACATCATAATGTAGTGGTAAATATTATTTATTCAATCTATACTAGATTAACCTTTGTACGTTTAGTGTTACACCGGTTCAACACTCGTTTTAAATTTGCGTCAAATTCTGTGACCGGTTAGTACCTAACTTTTGTCAGCAATCAATTCCACTAATAATGTTTTCGGTTGGGAAATTCAAGTATTTGCGTTAAAGAGTTGACGAAGTTCCTATTCCGATGAATTTTATGCGACAATCAGATGTATTATATCTGTGAACAGATATAGTAAATCGTGTTTTATCAAACGGATTAATCTTGAAGTTTTACAACGAGTTTTAATAAACCTTGTTATATGACGTCTATAATCAGTTTGCAGGATATTCGTCGGATTCGTTAGCGGACCGTATCTTGGATTCGAAGGCGAAGGTTTTGATTACGACCGACGGCGTGTGGAGAGGGGAAAAGCTCCTTCTGTTGAAGGCCATCTGTGATGAAGCTTTAAACAGGGTTAAGAACAATGGCCACATGGTCGAGTGTTGCGTAGTGGTCTCCCACCTGAGGAGAGTCAGTAGTCCAAAACAAAAAACAAGCGCAGTGGGTGGTAAGTACAAATAAAAACAGTATACAATTATGTAGTATTAAAAAAAACATATTAGGTGTACCAACGAGTAATCGAATATTTTGGTTTAATAATTTATTTAGTAACGTACTTTAAATCGAAAACATCTTCCGGTTTGCTCTTTTCGAAAAATGGCGGAGTGTATTGGAGAACGTGGGAAAATATTATTGAAGGAATGCTGCCTATTTATTTCCTGAAAAATAAGCAATTTTGAGAAAATATAGTGCATTACTTGTTGGTACATCCTATATTACGAGAAACGGTGATAATCTCTCGTTATCGATGATCCAATTTATTAACAGAGATATTATAAACTTTCTCCTTGTAAAATGTAGTTATAAAATTGGGGGAGAAATATAAAATCTTCGAAATAATTTTCTCGAATTATACGAAGGAAAGGCAAATGGCGTGAATGGTAAAAGCGATGGAAACGGCATAGCGGGTCCACAGATTCCATGGGACGACGATCGAGACGTTTGGTGGCACGAGGAAATGGAGGACGCGGAGGATAAGTGTTATCCCGTGTGGATGAATGCGGAGGATCCACTGTTTATTTTGTACACGAGGTGAATACTCCAAGTAACATTTCAAGTATTAAATTTTAATTGGCAAGATGAAGTATTGCGCAAAAGCATTATGAAAGTTAAAACTTTTTTCCCTGATTGCGTCATGTTTCTCGATAAATAGTGGCTCCACGGGAAAACCAAAAGGCGTTCTCCACACCACGGCTGGTTACTTAATTTATGCGGCCACGACATTCAAATACGTCTTTGATTACCATCCCGCTGATGTATACTGGTGCACGGCTGACGTTGGATGGATCACTGGCCATACTTACGTAGTGTACGGTCCCTTGGCGAACGCAGCTACTTCCGTTATCGTAAGAGAATTTAAAAATCTGGATTTCCTTCAACTTAAAACATTTACCACGAGATTAATTATGTAGCTTAATTATAGAGAACTTGCGAAAAAAGACAAAACAAATTTTATTTCTTCTTCCTTTTTAATTATGTTTCTTTTTCTTTAGCTTTTTATGTAAAAATTTGTTTAAATTTCACATACCTTTTCACATTTTTTAAATGTGAAACGTTTATGCAAACAAATAGAGAACAGCCCAAAAAGTAAATTACGCTATCCTTGTTTAATATCCCAGTTTCTGAACTTTTATCGTTAAGAGAATGTCCCGTATTGCAGTGAACATATTAATAACGTTTTCATTATTTTAGAATATAAATAATATCTATCTTATAATTATTATTGGTTTGTATCCGATGTTTATTTACAGTTTGAAGGCACACCCTTTTACCCGGACAACGACCGTTATTGGTCCGTCGTCGACAAGTACAAAGTCACGCAATTTTACACGGCACCGACCGCCATCAGATCGTTGATGAAATTCGGGGACGATTTGGTGAAGAAGCATAATTTATCGACTTTAAAGGTAAATCAGGATCGAATGAATCTCGAGTTTATCTATAAAAATAATGCAAATTGATAATCACGAATCCGAATGAAGGATCACTGTAACTTACAAACTACGGACACTTATGGAAATCCACATTTTTATGGGTCACTTTAGAAAACCTAGCATGAAACAGTAATTTATTTGTCTTTTATTACGGATTTTATAACGCTAAGTGTAAAAAAAAAATTTCAAATAAAATCCTTAAAATTCTTCAAATCTGTAAAGTAAAAAGATATAATTGCCAGTCATTTTTAATGTACGTACCGAGAAGATGATTCTTCAGATAATTCCGATAATGATGTAATCCTTTTCTAAGGAATGTGCTGTTCCAGGTATTGGGTTCAGTCGGTGAGCCGATCAATCCCGAAGCTTGGCTTTGGTTCTACAATCTTGTTGGTCATGGAAAGTGTAGCATAGCCGACACGTTCTGGCAAACGGAAACCGGAGGTCACGTGATCACTCCACTGCCCGGTGCTACGCCAATGAAACCAGGATCTGCGGTGAGTTACCATTTGAAACTTTTCATCGTATTGAGTTAATCGATAGAAAATGTCGTTTTTCTATCAATTAGGCAATATAATAATACCAATTTAGTTACAAATAATTGTTTATTTCTTTAAATCAGTTTCGAAATGTAATTATTCCCTTCATAAATGCTACATGTATACAGCAAAATTAATTATGCTTTACTGGAACTGTGAATATCTTTGTAACATGTAAGTAAATATATTGCTTTAGAGAAAATTTTAGGTTCTGGTTCTCAAGTATCTCACTCGATGTTGTAAGGCAAGGGGTTAAAAGAGCTGTTGGCTTTATCAATTTTCACAAAATTACAATAAAACTGTTTGTAGGTAAGAATACAGCAAAACTGACTTACGAAAAATCATTTTTGTTACATAAATGAATTTAAAAACAAGTTCTGTATTCTCGTAAGTTGCTCAATAAAAGCATTATTTAACAAAATCCAATAAACCCGACTGATTAATTTACTGATCTTTTACTTACTTTTCCGACAGTCGTTTCCTTTCTTCGGGGTCTTACCAGAGCTCTTGGACGAAGATGGCCGATTGATCGAAGGCGAAGGAGAGGGATACCTAGTTTTCCGTCAACCATGGCCAGGAATGATGAGGACCCTTTACGGGAACCATCAACGCTTCCAAAACACTTACTTCGATCGATTCCATGGATACTATTGCACAGGCGATGGTAAGTGTACCAATTAATCGAACAACTAAAATCGACAACTTCGTCGATTTTCGTTCAACGTGGAACGAACGAAAAATCATTTAGCCAAAGGATTTCTATAATTTTGACCGGCGTATTTCGCGTCTTTGCCAAGTTCCTCCTCGATCCTTAGTATCTGATTGTATTTAGCGGTTCTTTCGGTTCTGCAAGGTGCTCCTGCCTTGAATTGACCGGCGGACAGGCCGATCGCGAAATCGGCCACGAAATTGTCCTCTGTTTCACCCTGGCAAGACGACACGATGTACCCCCAGTCGCTCATTTTGGCTATTTTCGCACAGTTGATCGCTTCTGTCACTGTCCCAACCTGGGACATCCGTAAGATAATAGAGTTTGCCATTTGTCTCTCGATCGCCTCTTCGATCCTGTCGATGTTCATCGCGGTTAGCTCGTCGGAGACGATCTGAATATCTTGATCAGCTATCGTCAGCCAACCCTCCCAGTCTTCCTGGTCGAATGGATCTTCGATCGAGACTATAGATGGAAATTCGGCCAGGTACTCCAAGTACTGATCTTTAAGGGTTTCGGCCTCCATGTAATCGTCTGGGTCCGAATCTTCTGTTTTAAACGCGAGATCGTATCCACCTGGGTGAAGAAGGTCGTGCAGATATATATATATAGTATAGATTGTCATAATGTAAAAATGAAAATCTTGAAAAGCAATGTTGGCTCAGTAATAGAGGATCATGAAGAATTGGTATGATGGACAATCGAAAGATGGAATGTAAATCATTTTATCATTGTTTCATTGTGAATTGAACAAAATGCAGACACGATGGGTTAAGCCAGGTGTCTTGCAAGTCTATAGAATTCATAATTTCTTATTGACCTTCTTTGTAAAAAGAACTGGCGGCCATGTCCAACGCTATAACGATCCTCCCATCGTATCCAGCGTCCTTAATGGACTCGTCCAACAGCATCATTGCTTCTCGATCTTCCTCGAACTCTGGGGCAAATGCGCCTTCGTCGCTAACCGGAAGCGGTAGATTTATTTCCTGGGCAGCGGCGATTTTCTTCTCCAACACCTTGTACACTTCCGATCCCATTTTCAGTGCGTCGGCGAAACTTTCAGCGCCTAATACGATTACAGAATGGCTGATACGTACAATCAAGAAAAGAATAGTGATAAATAGACCGCGGATGTTTATGGAAGTGTATACTCGTTATGATTAATTTACACGAATGGAAGTTAAACGAACATTTATCAGATTAAACAGGGAAATGAAAATCGTGTACAGTGAAGGTATAGATGTCCATAGTCTAATGGTAAAAATATTAATACCTATAGGTAAAATCATGAATTCTTGACAGGGTATTGTGTTACCCGCGTGTCTTCCACCACTGATCATATTAAAACAAGGAACTGGAATGTAGAGTTCTCCGTTTTCAGCTAACTCTGCGATGTACCTGAAAAAAACAGTGGTTTTAGAAGATAAGTGTATAAATTATAAGTCATATTATTTTTACTTTTATACTTCTATTTTTAATTGTTTATGCAGAGAGGGTGGACTTGATGAAGATTTTTTCGTAATAACAGAAATTCTTGTATTTCACAGCTCATAAAGAAAGTACCTTATTTAATAGTAATATTTCTGTACTCTAAAAACACATTTTCATGAAATTTATTTCTTTGTTATAACTTCTATTCTTAACAAATTATATACTTTTGATTCGTCGATAAATTAATCATTGTTGATACATCACTTATAAAAAAGCTAAAAAAACCACCTGCTTTATTTACAGAAACTGAAATAAAACTAAAATTTGTCTACTCTATTAAGGATTCTGTCAGATTTGAAACAATGTAAAAACCACATTAAATTTTATTAAACATTCCACTGTAAGGAGTTTTAATCCTAAACTCATCAAGAGGAAATCTTATTACTGACTAATTTATTACGCAACTAATTATTTTGCATTCTCATGGAAAAAAAACATCGAAGTAAACAAGCATCTATTTAAGCAACTATTGAATAAACATAAAATATTCTAAAAGTATTCATGGAGTTCCTCAGACCCCACCTTACCAGTTACGGGTTAAACAATTGTATGTACCATAAATCCATAAAATCTGTAGTTTGTTTGTTATTATTGTAAAAAAATATTTCTGTGGATTTACTCGAATACGTTATTGGAATGTACCTATAAACTGGAAGTCCTTTCTTCGCCGCGCCAGCCTTGCAACAAGCAATGGACACACCGAGTATGGCGTTCGCGCCCAATTTCGATTTATTCTCGGTTCCGTCTAATTTGTTCAACAAGCTATCGATCTCCACTTGTTGGCAAGCCTCCAGTCTCGATTTTAAAAGTTGCGGCGCAATTACGTTATTTATTACATCAACGGCTCTGAAAACTGAACGTCCATGGTACATGGCCTCGTTTCCATCCCTTAATTCGTGTGCCTGATTAGGGCTTGGCACCAGAACACTCGGCACCGAGGATCGTAATAATCCAACATCGGTGATTATATCCACTTCCAACGTTGGCTCGCCCCTGGAATCGAAAATCTGACGAGCTTTAACCTTTTGTATCGGCATCTTTTTGTCTAACTTTTATCTTTCGGTTTAAAGATATGTCTTGACAGTTTATTGTGGATGCGAGTTTTGGTGGGAATGAGTAACGTAAGAATTTTAATGTTACCGATCGAAATGCATGACGAGGGGAGTTATGGAAGATTTGTTTATAAATTTCTTTCGTCGGTCAAACCATGTTTGTAGCCATCTTTGATTGAAGATAATTGAAGATCGACGTATGGGCATGTTCATTTTATCAACTTTGAGAAACTAGTTTTGAAAAATCTCATAATGAACTATATATTTTTCTTTTAAGTAAATGTTACCGTCAGAAGTCGTTTTGTCTTCGGAATCGATTATTGTATTTGTAACAATAACATTTTTAAAAGGTTGTCAAATTCAGGGAAGCGTAGAAAGGGTAATTTCAAGAAAGGGTAGAAAGATGTTCTAAATTTAAACTGTGTTACCAGCTGACTGAAACAAAGTGGTGGATTATTTATTGGTACACATGCAAAACAAAATATAGTGAGCAGAGTAAATGCAAAGAGCAAGGTTATTAAACCCTTACTGTTGTTAAACCTAAACCAAAAATAGAATAATTATGAATAATGATTGATTGTTGTCATAGTAAGTAAACAAATAAGCATTTTTGGATTCAGGTGCTAAACGTGATGCTGATGGCTATCTGTGGATAACCGGCCGCATCGACGACATGTTGAACGTTTCCGGTCATCTAATGTCCACTGCGGAAGTAGAGAGCGTGTTGACTGAACATTCATCGGTAGCTGAAGCAGCGGTAGTCAGTAAACCACATGCTGTGAAAGGACAATGCCTCTATTGTTTCATAACACCAAATGAGGGTAAATCGTTTGATAAAAAGCTTCAAGACGACCTGAAAAAGAAAGGTAATATTTTATTAATTTTTCTATTTTACTATACCTTACTGTTTATGACATTCAATTTAAAATTTCTAAAAATGCCTTCCATTGAATAGTTAGCCCTTCATTAAAATCAGACCTTATATCTAGAATTCGTTAAGTCCAAACACTTTAACGTTAAATTTGGTAATAGCAAATATGTTTTCCATTTAATTTGATATGTTACATTATAGTAAATAGTCAAAGCATTCGTCTTCTCTTCTTTTCTTCTATTATATTAAGTATACCAATAAGTGGTCCACTATATTCTTGGGAAATTTTGTAGTTGTTTTAAAATAACAGTATTCATTAGTTATCCCAATTATTTTCCACCATCTGAACTAGGCAGAAGATCGGAATGCTATTTTAAATTTGAAGTCAGTCTATTGAAACCATAGTGGACTAATTGTTGGTACATCTTAATATGCCTGTTATTGTACTATCTAAACAGAATAAATATTGTATTATTTTTGTGATAGTGCGCGAGAAAATCGGTCCTTTCGCGCAACCGGATGTCGTCCAACACGCGCCAGGGCTGCCGAAGACGCGGTCGGGCAAGATCATGAGACGGATCCTCAGGAAGATCGCGGCAGGGGATAGAAACGTCGGGGACGTCTCGACGTTAGCCGACGAGAGCATCGTCGACGTCCTTTTTCAACTCAGGCCTCAGGTTTAAAGAAGCCTCGACGACTTAGCCATCTCCGGAGAATCTCGTGAAATGTAGTAATTTAGACAAAGAAAGAGAAACCGACACGCTTCCGGTGACCGATACAACAAACCTCAAGTAATAGTTACGTGAAGAAACGAGACCAGTAGAAGAGGTCGTGCTTCGAATCTTTGATGAAAGAGAGTAACTTGTCGCTCTGAGTGCCATCTAATAGGAATAATTGGAATCTGAAGTTGTGTCTCAGAAACGAAACTTCCTTTTTTTATATTAGAATTCGTTTCTGTTCTGTTAATAGCTTAATATTTATAGTACTATGTATCGATTCACAAGCAACTATTGTGCGATTATAGTTATTGTTCGGTTCACATGTTGCTGTTTTTGTTTTTGATAGTTTGTATGGCGGTAGACGGTGTTCGTCGTATTGTTTTCTGCCAATTCGTAAAGATGACTGCATGTTGCGAACGTAATACAAAAACGAGACGCACGATACAGTTAGCATGATATCGCAAACGAGATAATCATTTCGAAAGTAATGCGGGAACCGATTTACAATTTTACAAAAAAAAAAAAGAATCGATTACAAATATACATATTAACGTATTAATCGTCTCGCACCGATCGTCTTCGTAGCAGCAATTTTTTCTGGGTATTAGCCTAGGTATTTAGCCAGGATATCGAAATTGACGAAAATGTATGTACTTACAACAATTGTACGATGTTGTAGAGAGGCGAAGAGTTTCATAGTGTGCACGCTTGACGCATGCGTTGAAACCGATTCATCGATCAATATGAAAGTAACTTGAGAACTTTTGAAGAGTTTACAAAGCTATTTAAATTAATTGTATATTTAACTGACACGCGATAACGCCTTTGTATAGCCGTGTCATTAATGGTTTTTAGATCTCCCGATACTGTTGTTTTTTATTCTCTTCCTTCTTATCGATGATAAAGAGCATTTGTACAGGTTCCAATTGGCTTGGATTAAATTTGTATTTGTTTTATTGATTTCGGCGTAACTTACGAGTCAATGTACGAAGGCGTTTATGAAAGTATCACTGCACGAAAACAGTATAGTCCGGCCGCAGGAAGTATACTTACTTAGTCTTGCATCTCCCACCGCCGTCTTTAAATGCCGACTATAGTGATAGCTTCGAGCGTATTACGCGTGCGTCCGAATCCGATCAGGCAAAATTTGACCGCGCGATTCTTTGAAACTGAAATTTGTAGGATATATATATATATATAAATATATATTAATTTAAAAATTATGCACATAATAAGAGGGAACGAAATTTATATATATTTTTAATACTACGCTCTTGGTGTATTGCGTGACTGTTTTCTTGACCTGATTGTAATTGAAAGCGGATTAACGATAATGTAATACCCTTCCGCTGATTACACGCGAGTTTCTTCGCGTATTCGTAAGAGCGATTAAGTAATATAAGTTTCGTCGGGAAATGTCGAGAAATGTCTAGCAGCGGGTTATTTAATTTTAGCGAATTATTTTTTTTTACAGCGACCGCCCCGCTCTAAAGAACGCGACAGACCTAAGTATACGCACGATTATTAACGCACTTTACATGAAAAGTCAGCGTTTTCTGTAAGTTTTTAGAAGGCTGGATATAAATGACCCACACTGTTACTAAACAGTGTTCACATACATATCATTCCTCGCGGAACAAATCAACTATAGGTGTGATAATGATATATATATATTGAAGATAGTATATGTATATTATATGGAAAATGCAGAAGCTACATATATATATAGTATGTAAATATATCTATCTTGAAGGACGCTATTGTTACTGGCCTGTTGAACGAAAACGTAGTATGTATTCATTTATTCGTTCATCCCTCTTTCGAAACGAATTGGTTTCCTCGAAGTATTTCAAACTTCTCTATCGATCCAGTAGTTTTTAGAGGTTCTTCCGACTTTAGAAAATTTTTAAACGCTTTAATTTAGACAGTATTGGATTTCATATTTTATAAAATTACTTTTTTGCAATTTGTATTTCATAGTTCGGGATTATTAACAAGCATAATAACAAACAGGAACAGTGCATGAACGATTCATTCTGGTGTTTGTTTGAGTAGATAATTATTTAGGTACGTGTAAATTAATTATTTATTTATATTTAAAATTATCGTGCTCATTCGACGAATAATAAGCATGAAAGTTATCTTGTGTTTATTATTTATCCAAGTAATAATCCTAACGTTATTATGTTAAAAGAATTTAAACATTTCCTTTTTAATTCTTTAAGATCCATACAGTTTCCCCAACAGAATCCCCAACAGGAACTCAGTTCATTCATTTAATTGTTCAATTGTTAATCGACTTTAAGAAAATAACGTACTCTGTGGTGTAAACGAAAGTGCTATTAAAGTATTACTACATTTTATTCACTTATAGTATACCAGAATGTTTAAAATTAATAAATGGAAGTCATAAACTGAGCAGGCGCATTTTGAACGAAACTTGTAGACTAGACAGGGTAAACATTTCAAAGTCATCGAATCAACTTGATTTTTTTTTTTGAAATGTAATTGTCGAACAAAAAATTAAGAAAAGTTTAGCAGATTATTGTTCTAAAATCAACATACGCGAATGTATTTAGGTATATCGTTCTTTACATTTCACAGTAATTTCGTTCAAAAATAACTTCTCTAGCCTACGACCTCCTCCTGACTGTAGTAAGTTGGATGCACATATGTACGTCAAATTGCAAACATAACTTCGAGTAGAGTTGATAAAAAGTTTGCTTAACTATAGTTTCCGTTAACGACTCCGTGATAATTTATGCTTGTATATATACATACCTAAAGCTAAATTATAAAAAACATCGACTTACCGAAATCATCTTTCAGTGATGTTTCAAACTGGGATTCCAGGCGAACTGTGTCGCTACTGTTGCTTTCATTCGAGAGTTCTCAATGGCTGAACACAACCGCCTTTTTAAAACCAGCTGACGAGGAGATGTTACGTCAGTTGGCCGCAGTTGGCCGTTAGCCGTTGGACGCACGGTGTTTTGTCTGTCCCTATTGTGTCCGGTGTCGGAGATCGTGTTTCTTTTTTCCGTTATTCAAACGCACCGGTGAATCATGTCGAATATCGACGAATGTTACCTGACAGTGCTTCGGTTGGTGAAGGAAGCTGGCTGGGTAAGTATCGAAGTTTTTTTTGCGATTGACAAAAAATGAGTAACCGCGCAGAGTGTCAAGTTATTCTTGGCTGATAGCGGGCCAGGTTTATCGATTTTGCTGCTTCGAATTTCAATGAAGTTCCCGAGTCATCAAGAAGACTCATTTATGCTGCTTTTCAGCTGAAAAGTTTTTAATACCGTGTTACCTAATGCGTTTATAATGCGGCGTTGTTTCGAGTTAATCATGAATTTTAATGATTGTTGAGAGATTGCGTATTTCATCACACGTGATGTTAGTACTAATTCGAAATCGATCGATGAATAAACAACCTGAATTTTCTTCTTGGTAGATTACATTTGATCTAGCAGGCACCTACTTTTATGAGATATGGATATAGATAATGATATTAATTTGTACATGCGAGCAAAGCACTTGTTCGGCTTCCAAGAAACGGAGTTAGGTGAAATGACGCCTCTTTCGTGTTTACATTGTGACAATTTATCGTGACTCTTATATAGAACCTATATTTTAATGTACCTGTATTACAAATAAATGTAGGATTATTAAATGTACACATTAGCAATTAAGTTGGACACTGTATTTATGTTCGATTTCGATTTCAATGCCATTTTTCGTCTATGATGAAATAAACCAGAAGCCCTAAAACAGAAAACTTAGGGTATCATGTAATTGTCGAAATATGATGAAATAAATTGAAACGTTTGGTATACAATTGTTATTTGATTTTTTGTCTTTTTAAATTACTGATTCGTTACTTATCTGTAAAGTAGATCCATAAAGATAAGCTATATTGCATTATAGGGTGCAGTATAGACAATAGACAAATAAGTTATAAGCATTGTAATTTGTTATGATGTAAATTATTCATTTACATATAACAATCGATAATAAAGATTATAGAGAATATTACAGTAATTCATTCAGATTTTTTACCGTGACATTATTAAGAATTCGTAATTAAAACTTTCAACCCTTGGATGGCTGATGCTTTTGGCTGACACACGGTAAACCGCGACCAGGTCTATTTAGACATGTTCTGTTTTTTTTTTGTTTGATCACAACGTGACTCTTTCCTTATTGACAATTGATAATTTGTACTCTACAGTTTAGTTTTTTCCTAGGATAAATCTAGGCGCGAAAATAAAGGCTACAGAAATATTTGAATTAAAATTAAATTGTAACATTTGCAGATTGTCAGGGAAAAAATTAACCAACCAAAAGATGCGATGATAAAGTCATGTGAAGTCGATCTTGTCACCGAATGGGATCAGAAGGTCGAGAAACTATTAATCGACGGCATATCTTCCAAATTTCCGGATCATAAGTACGTTATTGCATTTAGCACATTCACTGCCACGCTTTTTTCGAAAAAGTTTTCCACGGCGCCAAAATGTTTTACAAAAATATGTTGACTACACCGATATTAAATGTTTGGTACCAATGAAACTTATTTCCCATTTCTTTGTACTTGTAATTTATTGTAGTAATTATTTTACCAATATTTTATAGTACGAGTCAGATAGTACTGCATCATCTAAAATTCTGTTACGCCGTAACTTACTATCCGTGACTTTTATCAATTTTATCACGCAACGCATCTTTAGCTGCAATAATCAAATTGTTAAGAATTAGCGTCGTATAATTTTTTAATTCACAAATTGCTCTTTATTGAATCTTCACGTACGCCAGATCTAAATGGAACACAATTTGGCCGTCAACATTCGATGCGCAGTATTCTATTTAAGTTCATTGATACGAGTTTCGAGAAGGGAACAACGATATGTCTGAATGGAAGTTTCCATTCATGAGAAAGTTCTGGAATTGTTCAAAGAATTAGCAAATCTTCCAGAATATTAATTTGATTTTGTGACTACAAATGTTGTTTTTGATAGAAACATTTAAAGACAAATTTTCATTCAACGGCAAAATGTATTTTCTTAGATTTATAGGTGAGGAAGAAAGTTGTACACTCGGGACGAAGATCGAACTTACGGACGCGCCGACATGGATCATCGATCCTATCGATGGAACCATGAACTTCGTGCATGGTTTACCGCACACTTGTATATCCATTGCGTTGGTCATCAATAAAGTCACAGAAATTGGAGTCGTTTATAATCCAATTCTGGAACAATTGTTTACTGCACGTAAAGGGCAAGGCACACTTTTGAACGGAGCTCCTATTCAAGTCTCCGGTGAGAAAGGTAATTAAAATGATTGAGTAAACGAGGTTCTTGATAGTTCAGTGGAATGAACTAAATGTCCATCACTTAATAGTAATATTTTTCTGTAATCTCTTATACGCTCGTTATACTGGATTCCTTACGTCTTTCCTTCTAGAATTACGCAAAGCTCTTGTAATGATGGAAATGGGCACTAGCAGGGATCCTGAAAAAATGAAAGTCGTGTTGGAGAATGCAACTAATCTTCCTCCACTAGTTCATGGGTATAGTTATATTTTAAAAATAAAGCAGTTTTTATTTCATTAAGTATCTCGTAAGTTTTCATGGAAACAAACTTGTTCTCTTTTCAGAATACGTGCTTTAGGCTCTGCTGCTTTGAATATGTGCATGGTTGCTCTAGGCGGAGCGGATGTTTCGTTTGAATTTGGTATTCATGCCTGGGACATTGCAGCTGGTGATATTATTGTAAGAGAAGCTGGTGGTGTATGCATAGATCCCGCTGGTAATTACTTCTATTAGAATTTGATATTGCAGGCAATTGTAATTCAAGTGGCTTGTTTTAAATGCTTAACTTTTTAACTTCAGGCGGTCCCTTTGACCTAATGAGCAGAAGAGTTTTGTGTGCATCGACAGCGGAATTGGCACAATCATTAGCCGAAATATTAGTCCAGTATTATCCGGAACGCGACTGAGAAGTCTAGAGATGAGATACCAACGCAAAAGAATTACAAAAATTTGAAATGGTGGCGACTCTGTATATGCCGATCATGTACAAGTTTAATGTATTTAAACTTTGCACCATGTACTTCAATGAATCTTTCTTGATATGTATTATGTTTGTTGCTTTTGCAGGCATTTAAGGTTTCTGAATTAAAGTAATAGATATAAATGTTTAGAAGATGTACTTATATTTTAGTTTCATACATAAACACTTAAGACAAAGATGATAATATGTCTTAAGAGATTTATAAATAAATCTAAATTTAATATACTTTATCATACATATGATGAAGGGGATCGTGAACAATGTTGTATAGTAACGGCAGAGACAATATATTCTACAGTAATTTAATGTCTTTATTTCAGGATATAAAATATTGTATTAAAGTGAACGTGAAATAAATATTTGTCCCATTACGCATGCGTGTAATTTATTGCGACGATCAGTATAATACTTTTCACATAATAAAACGTGTTCGTATGAAAACTATTTTTAAAGATTTTGGCTTAGTCATCTGAAAACTAAAGGCCAAAAATATTAGTATTGTGTTTCATGTAGTGTTTCCTATATTAGGGTATATAAATACGTATACGCGGTATTCAGGTATTCCTAAAATTGATTATAGTAATTTAAAATTCTAACGCACATGTATCTTACCTGTTTACATACTTACGATTGTATTAATCTCAACGAAACATTAAGACAAACCTTCCTGTGGTTACAAATTTAATTAAATATTCGGCGATCCCTTTTCTGACAGGCGTCATTTTATATACAAGAAGTCAAGCAGCTGCTGCGAGGATCTCACCCTTTTTCCTTAGTCATCAGTGCTTTCCACCAACTGATTTCATCATCTCTTCCTTTGCCTCCCCTCCTCACAGGGAGGGCTACAAGTGAAACATTACCAAATTGCCAATTAGAAAACTAAAGAACTAACGTAAGTTTCTGTGTATTCAATTTTATTTCTGTATTGATATTTCCCCGTAATATCTATTTCCCCATTTTTATTCTTTTAATTTAACAAATCGTGTTCTTTTGAAAACATTAGAAAAAATTGACTAAGATACTCATGCTCTATAAGACGTGACAATGAACTAATCAAATTCCAATATCTATTCTCTTATAGCCTTTCAAGATGTCGCTTTAGAATTTTCTATGAAATTATTAATAACGACTTAATGTATGTATAAGACAAAATTTCTTTCCCTCCAAGGAGATAGAATACAATTATGCAGGTTCTGATTCGCTATAGAGGTCGTTTAATGAGAAACGGATATACTAAATATCCCATAAGGCAGTCCCCCAAGAATACCTTGCAACGGGATCGGCGTTAAAAGCCCACATAGGTCCACCCGCGCTTAACGATGCTTTGAATCGAAGACTCATCTGAAACATAAGCAGCCTCGTACAATATTGCCACGTAAAAATATATACCATGAACCATTCAAACAGCATTGACACTCTGCTGTATCATACTTAAAAACAAACGCAATGATTAAATGAAAGAAAAAAAAAAGAAGAAAAATTATGATGCTACGATACGAAATCGCATGGAATGAATATATTAGTTTAGTTAAAAGGAAAATATAAATTTTTATGATAGAAGTACAACCGCTACCGTCACTGTCGTGTGTTAAATAATTTTCGTTGCTGTGTTCATAATGTCCATTGGTAAATATTTCAGACCTCTGTTTCTCGGTGCAAATATATACATTATTATTTTCTCATATTTCTTTACATTGTCATCTAAATAAATGCAAGGTCAGATGTGAAAATTAATAATTGTGACACTAATGGTCAATTAGCGATCGAGTGTTAACATATCGACTTATTTTACAACACTTCCTGAAACACACGTTATCTCTACCTATTGTATTTCGTTACTAGATAAGAGACAGATTACAGCTTTTATTTTTTTTTTTTTTTTTTTAAATATATTATTAAGATCTACGGCACGTGCTTCTAATTGCACGGGAGCAGCGTGCGATTATTTGTATTAGTCATTAAGACTGAAAGTATAAAATACAGGGCTCGTTTCTCATTCAGTTAAGCATGTGTCGTTTTATTTCAATAACCTACTTACTATACAATTTATTTTTTTCCTCTGTTAGTACAAGTCTCTTTGCTTCACTAAGAGACTTCAATGCCATGCGCGCGCACGCGTCGCCTGCATTGAAGGCCAACAAAAAAAAATAACGAACCGTATGTGAATCGGTTACGATTATCAAATTCATAAGGTCTTACAATTTCACAAACACGGAATCCTCTCATTGTGAACGTAAACGCATTATTAATAACGATTTGTGAATATAATAATTTATGCGAGATATTTAATCGTGAAGTCGCGCTTGTTTCCTTTCCCTTTTTATTTTATTTTTTTTTTAAATCGAAAAATTGAGAAAAAGAAAAATACTATGTACCACCATTATGCTAAGTATCGATGGCCAGTGCTGAAAGAGGCGGTCACTTTTTCCCAGTTCATATCGTCCACGGAACAGAATACGATTACCACGTATGTAATTCAGCATGCCTCTTCTTCCTAGCGTAGCATCGTTGATTTATTTATTTTATCGGTGCTGTGCACAGAGAAAGAGAAGAAATAAACCATATCTAAGCGAAACACCTCGAATTTGTGAAAAAAAAAAAAAGAATGAAAAATTTACACGGAAAAACATGATTTTTACGCCTTGATACACTACATTCTTCCGAGTCGTACAAACGCTTCTCATTGCATGCGTAGTTCAATACATCGGTGAACTCCAACGTTTTTATTCATCGTGTGTAGTGATTCTAATTTTAATATAAAAATATTGCACTCTATTGACCTGCAATAGTTATCATTAATTAAATAATACAGTTCAGATTCATAGAGTACAATGTCATATGCATATGTAATTTTAAATAATTTTTCTTTCCCTTGTATATATATGTGTGTGTGTGTATATATATATATGTATATATATTCTCAAACTGTTTTTTACTCTTTGTCAATTAGACGGGGCGAGAGTGAATCGTGAAATTTTGCACCGCCTCTTTCTGCTAAAACGGATACAAGACACATTCTATATAAGAAGACACCGTCATAGGTTAGTTTGTTTTGTAGTATACAACGAATCGTAAGCGGTGTCATTTCAAACAGTTTTTGCAAAATTACGTCAGTGAATTCTCCGATGTGGAAGGACCCCGGGCAGGGTTACCTATATCTTTTCTTGTATAAACGGATGCGCCAAGGCGTGGTTCACAGTGATTCTCTTTCCTGCATCCAGCATCAACGTTCGCTCCAACAGATCCTTCAATTGTCCAACTTTTCTACTTTGCTCTGGTGGCAGTGAGTTTCCACCCAATTCGGCATTAAGGTCACGTGTAGCAGACAATGTTGACATCACTACAACTTTCTCCTAAAAACGTGAATAGTCTCCATTTTACAACATATGTACGACCATTATTCTTAATAATTATGATTTGAATATATACACACAGAATGCGTGGCACAATTCATGGTAGAAACATTATAACAGCATTTGAACATAAAAATTTATTCGTCAATGATTTCTTAATGAGTTGAGTTTGATTTTCATAATCAGACAAGATAAGCGCGTGCGTACACGATGAAATTTTGAAGTATTTTGACAGAAACGATTGCTCGCGTGTAAAAACCTTTATTCAACAATTTTTAACTCAATTTTGCATGAGGGATCACCTTGTTTTCTCGCTTGTACCATGAATTTTGTCGCATCCTGTATAATTATCAAGCCACTTACCACATAGCAAAGGACAAGGATGGAAAGAACAGTAGAAAGACAACTTACCCGCTCCGTGACCTTATCAACTTCATGATACAGGAAATTGCAGTTAGAGTCAAAGTGTTGATCCTTGAACGTCCCCTTCCTAATCAGTTTATTAGGCATCTTGCCTTTCAGGTCCATGAAGAACTTCAACATTTGGTTGTTCGTTTTGCCCGAGAACATTATTTTTCCCGTGTACAATTCATATATGGTGCATCCCACGGACCACATGTCAATGCCGAAATCATATGGTATACCAAGAACTAGAAAATGGCAATGTTAACGTCTAATACATGGCAATGGTTATTAAATTTCTATGACAGTGAAGATCTCCATAATATAGGTTGGATCAATACACCAAAGCTGTTACGTACAGTTTCCATCAATGTATAAAAAATTATGTAATGACACACGTACGCGACTAAGAGATCTGGCCGCTACAAAATTATCTGTCCAGATCAATTGTAACACACTCTTTAATCGTTTGTACCACGTATAATAGTGCACTGCTATCAAAAGCTGGTTTAAAGTTCAGTGATGAGTAAATAGCATCGAACCTCTTGAGTTTTTATGATATAAGTGTAATACATCAGTGGAGTTGGCAAATAACTCAAGAGATTGAAACAGTTAGCTAATAAATATACATTAATGTGTTAACAAAAATAAGTAATACTTACTGATTTCAGGTGCCCGATAAAACCTTGATACCAAATACGGTGTCATTTCGTTCTCATGTGCATGGGATGCAGAACCGAAATCGCAGAGTTTCAATACTAGCTTGCTTTCACTGACTAGAATGTTATCTGGTTTGATGTCAGCATGTAGAATATTTGCACGTTTTAGTAACTTGAGAGCAAGGAAAAGTTGCTGCGTATACGATCTTACCGCTTTAACATGTAAACCAACGTCTTTGCCATACTTTTTCAAAACCTGATTATTGTGAAAATCAATAATTAATTACAATATTGCTTTTATTTTATAGTAATTCGTCGACGGAAAATAATTACCTCTCTTAAATTCATAGCTAAAGGTTCAAAGACCATGCACAAATGATTTTTGTGAAAGAAATGCCTAAACAGTCGTAAACAATGGAATCGGTCTTCGGGATCTGCATCATTAAGCTTCCTAAGAATTTCTAATTCCTTAAGGCCAGTCTTATGCCTAAAATAATAAATAAAGTATAAGTATTTAAGTTATGGATATTGCACAGTAATAATACTTACATTATTTCATTATTCCTTATTATTTTTACTGCAACGTCTAAGTTGCCTCTGGCACTGTCTCTAGCCCTTACAACATTACTAAATACACCTTGACCAGTATATCCATATACGGCATACCGGGAGTCTAACGTTTCTCCGACTCGAACCCTAAAAATAAAGTTAATTATTCAGTTATTTTTTGTACAACGTATTCAAGAAAAAACATAAGGATATATTTTTTACCGATAATATCCTTCTGCATCATCCCAGTTGTCTGTTAAACTTGGATTATCCGGACCGCCTTGTCGCTTTCCTTCGACAGTTGGACTCTGCAAAAAAGAATAACATTTATTATAATGATGAAAATAAACAAGTAACATTTTATAAACATACATTAAAATCGCCAATATTATCCGCTTCGGCGAACATGTCCCATTCATTTGATTTTTTTGCATTCTGTTTCTCTTCTGGTTTCACTTTGTCCGTTGATTTTGAGTCTTCATTTTTTTCGATATCTTCCGGTGGCACATCATCAAACCTCGATTTTCTTTTTTTAACTGTTTGTGGCGACTTGGGCTTTTCTGGCAGTGGTGGAGTATGACTTTCCGAAGTGGATTCATTATTATTGGATGGGACTTCTAATGACTTTTGTGATACATTTGATTGACTCTCTGAAGGTGGAGTAGCAGGAACAGTGTTTATATCAGCAGACATATTGGAGTCTTCGTTTGGACCACCTAACCTCTGAATAAAATGAAGAATACACAGTTATCATGCATCATAATATCAGTTTCTTTGTCTATCATAATATAGTGTTATGTACTATACATACTTTGAGAAGTTCTTCTCTCTGTTTCCTTCTACGTTCTATAATCGCCTCATCATCTTCTTCTTCTTCTAAATCAATATCTTTGATATCTTCTTCGCTTGAACTTTCTGAATGTTCTACCTTCAACCCCTCTGATAAAGAGTCCTTGTATTTATCACTGCGCTCTCTTTTACCATTTTTCTCCCTATCTCTATCGTGGTCTCTGGCATGTTTGTCTCTATCCCTTCTACTTCTAGATAACGATCTAGAGGTTTTATACCGATCGTTCCGATCTCTGTCTAGTCTACTCCTAATGGGGCTGCGAGATCTTCTAATACTTCTTGAACGTTCCCTAATTCTGTCGTGATTTCGACTATCACGACGATCACGTACGTCAATACGATCACGACTACTTTGGCCGTCCCTATGTCGGTCTCGACTTGCATGACGTTCCCTGCTGTCTCTTTTGTCACGACTATGTCTGTCTCTGCTGGAAGGCCTATCCCGACTGCGACGATCATGACTTGTCTGTCGATCTTTACTTGTATGACGCTCTCTACTAATATGTCGATCACGACTTACGTGACGATCTCGGCTAGGATGCCTATCCCTACTCACGTGTCGATCTCGACTGCTCTGTCGTTCTCGATTTTCCAGTGACTTGTTATAATCATTACGAGATCTGGAATTATGATGATCTGCATCTCTTCGCCGTTCTTCCTCCCTGAAATCATAACATGAATTAAAATATTAAATAATATTTAAAGTTCTCTTTACATACAACGTACCGTCTATCTTGGTCTCTTTTACGCGATTCATCCCTCTTAATAGATTCTTTACGCTTATCATCTTCTGACCTTCTTTTATTATCTTCTTTGCGTGACTCTTCTCTATGTCTGTCAGTGGGCTTTCGTACTTGCCTATCGTCTCTTCTGCTTTCATCCCGTCTTACCTCTTCTTTAGTACGTACTTTATCTTCTCTTCTTCTATCCGAGTTTCTCCGTTTATCTTTGTGTTCCTCTCGATTTCTACGATCCCTGCTCATATCTACAACAACTCGTCTTTCGGGTTTTACTATTTTTTTCCGTTCTCTGCTACCGGATTTACTCCTAGCCCGTTTCTTAGGGGGTATATTGTCATTTTCACTATCATCTTCTACAAGTATAACATCGGGCGTTTCAGTAGCTTTTACTTCATCACGATCTGGTTCTTTATCCTCCTTTTCAGATTCGTCAGAGAGATACTGTACCAAGCACGCTTGCAACCGTTCCTGTGTCAACAGCGGAATCTGATTAGAGAAGGTTCTGTATTTATGTATGAAACATTTGATTAAAAAACTATACCTTTTGTTTCATTAATTCCTCAAGGTCAATATCATCCTCAATAATTGTACAGTCTACCTCATCTGAATCTAAATCTATTAATTTTTCGTCTTCACTTTCTTCTGTAGAAACAACTTCTAATAATGAATTTTTTACTTTTCCATTTACACCAACGTCCTTTTGAACTGTTCGTGATGATTTTTCATCCACTGATCCATTTTCAACTTCTCTTTCTTTCTTAGGTCGTTTATGTTTCTTATGCCTTTTCCTGAAATGTTGTTTGTTAATACTCTTAAAACGAAACATCATATAGTGTCAAGATTAAGTAATAATCAGTCATATATTGCACATACCTTTCTTGCCTTTCAATCTTCCCATCTTCCCTTTCAATTAATTTGTCCTTCTTGTGTTTGTGGTGCTTATGTTTTCTTTTTTTCTTCTTTCTTTGGTCATTCAACATGTCGGACTCAGAATCTATGCCGACAATATCTCTCTTAGAGTCTAAGCATTCTAGATCTGATGTACTGAAACATATTTTAATAATTACTTGTAACAAAGTGAATAATTAGTCTGCATTAATTCAGTTAATCACCACTTTATAATCAAACATGAAATATGATTTACATAAACAGTTTATACTTTATTCATTCAAACCACGGAATATCCCAAATTTAAGATTAATACTCACTTCGCGTACTAAACCTTAATTTAAATGTGATTCAAATAATATAATAGGGCAATTCTTTCGAGTGATGTTAAGTGGTATCTGTTGCGAAATACGATGATTGTAAAATACAAGAATTAGGTTATTTTTTCCAGTGGTCATAAAGTATAGAACCCGATATAAAAGAAAAATGATTTTTCTATGAATTTATACGGCGGTCTTACGAAATTTCGAAAGAAAAAAAGGATTTTTCGAATAGGGTATGAGATTTATTCCGAAAATAAACAGAAGATCACGTAAGTATATGCGATGTAAACATACTACCTTGCACATCTTTTTATACGCCGCAAATAGGAGTTTTCGAATTAATAGAATAATATTCATTAAAATTTACGACTTACCCCATGATTAAAGTTGCTAAATTATTGTTAAGAATAAAACTACTGAAGCACTGCACAAAACAACTACACGCATATATGAACTCTTTAATGGGCCGCCATCTTATATGTTCGATCGTGTTATTTCGAGATATCTCGGTAAAATATCGGACACGATTAATATCGATAAGAAAGGGTTGCTTCCGGTTGCTATATTCTCATCTTTTAACGTATGGAAGCACAAACGAGGTATAAGAATAGATCTAATAGACAATGCATTTTCGTGACCTGATTTTCTGAGGTCCTAGCAGGTCCTAGCACCCCATTACCACTTTAGTGTCACTCCCCGACGTTACCGATATGGTACGAATCTGGGTATTATTAGCACGAATGGAGCATTATATTGCATTATATGCTTCGTTAATATTACGTGTGCCTAATATCATTGGCGGAACTAAACATATATGCATTGCTACAGTTTAAAGTTTTAAAGGATGAATGTAACTTACGAAACATGACGCCGTAAATATATGTTTTATCATTCATCTGGAAAATAACTTATTAAATGTCACTTAACATGTGTACAGAGTACAGAGATTACTAAATTTATTTAAAATCACGTTTTATAATCAATAACACTTTGCATTGTAAAATGGCTGATAGAATGTTTAACCATATCCTTCAGAGAGGTAATTGTTATAACAATTATGCCGTTAGAAGTAATAAATTAATCGTATATAGACTCTTAAAAAGTTTTTTAAGTGGTACATTCATCTTTTAAACTGGATTAGTGCACATGTTTATTCCCGCCAAGTCGTATTAGTCGGGGATCTACTGCTCTGACCAATCAATCTTGTTCCAATCAATCAACCAATCAAGTTGGCATTCGTTTCTGCAATACAAGATGATATAAATTTTTAATTAAATTACATATGTTCATTGAGTAAACTTATAACAATGTATGTTCATATATATCTACTGTAGTTTACACTTAATAATAGCTTGGTATTCGGCGTGTGAACGACATGATGAGTGGTAACTCTATTCCGATAATCCCCTTCGTTTGAATGTATGTTTCTGCGATTAATTTAAGTTGTTTGTTTTAGTTTACTTTGCTCGCGAGTTCTTTACACGGACTTAGTATATGGCGCTAATGCGTGTAGGTATACTAAGGCTGTTTACCGATCTCTCTGAATTATACAGCAGAGAGGGTTACGGTCTCAGCTTCTCCCATGTAGATAATATAGAGGACCCCTTGAATCCCCTTGACCAGTGTCCACCAATGGTCAGCAATCGGAGATGAAAACGTGGGAAGACCTCGATGAGGTCCGCGGACGCGAGTGAACTGAGAATTTCTCGTTGCGCGCCCGTATTTACATCTTTGGGCGCACGTTTCTATGGATTTGGAAACATTCTTTTTGTATGTGTTATATTTATTACGAAACCAGCATTAACATTTAAAAGGACCCTGTATATATTCATGATCCTTTCCTAAGTTTCTTGATGGTCACCTTTAAACAAAATCTTGGAGCAATTCTAAATGACGTGAAACTAGTGGCGGCGTGAAGAGACAAAACTTTGCGGCAGTCTTATTAGGTTAGCCAGGCAGTCTCCACGCTCTTCGCTGATAGAAGTTTCATTATTTGTTTACGGTGTCCCTTGTTCTTCTTCGTAAAACATTTACTTTCTAAGAGCTACGGTTCCATAGATTACGTTAAAGAAACCTTTAAATTGTTAAGTATCTTTTAAAATGGTTTAAGAACATTTCTGAACATGCGGGATTAAGATTATATCGAAAATGTGTGTAAATTCGTAACAGCGTTAAAGAGACGAGAACGTGATTGGATCGAAATCAACCTGAAGACTAGCAGGGTAAAATTTTTAAAATGTACGGAAGTTTAACACCAGAACAACCGACGATAAATGCATATCTATTTTGATAAACCTGACAAACTTATAAAAATTTACAAATTTACAAATTAACTAATTTCTTCACATTCATGTCGTAATAAAAGTTGCGAAAGGTCTGATGAAAAGTATATAAGTTATAACAGTGTATTGACAAGTCAATTTGATTTGTTCGGTAGTTCTAGTATTAAACAATTGGACGTGATATATAAACGCATCCAATTCATAGTTCACTTATAATATACGATTCTGTTTAAAATAAGTTAGTACTTCGAAACTTCCGGGCGGCAAAGTACGAGAACTACTACAAATAACATAATTTCACAAATGCCCCAGAATCCCTGCACCAGAAACGGGAAAATGCAGCAGTCCGATTTGCGCTATGCAAAGGTGGGGGACACCCGTTCAAAACCGGCTACCTGAGTAAAACCGTGGCCTACTATTACTTTTACACGGTCCCCATGCCAATAGTCGTCGTAGCGAACCATACTCTTTGTTATTCACTAAATATACCGCTCACGTCATCATTCTTCCCCCAGGTAGACACAGACACTACAGGTGTCCCGAGGCCATAAAAATCGTTCACCCAGTCACCCGTTAAAACTTCAAAACCGATCGAGAAACCCCAGTTTCCCACGTTCCGAAAACCCCGCCGCGATACTTCCACCGTCGAAATTACGCTGGCAGTAATTAAACTAATACGGAAGAGAGGTCCGAGTCGGGAAGCACTCCGAGACACATCCCGTTCGCTTCGAAGCACTTTGTGCATCGATTCACGAATTCGTCGTGTCGTATTGAACTTGATCCCATTCCTCGCAGCCCAATTAGCCCACATATAGATCCGCCCATGGTATTCGTGTGGGGTTGCTTTCACCGGGAGTGTGCGCAGTGACAGGTAAGCGCAGCTTCTGGGGTTGGAGGAAAGACAGAGCCAGAGGAGGCAACCCCGTTAACCCGAGGCGACGCGTCGGGTAGGCACGTCGCGACCCTCGTCGCCGAAACATCCACGACCATGAGACCGTCGGGCGCCGGTAACGGGCCACCAGTTTCGACCATCTCGCTCCTACCTCGCCCGTCCTCTTGCGTTTCGTTGGGCCAGTGTCCGTCCACCAGCTGGACCCCTGACGATTAATCGCCGGCTAAATCGGATCCATAATTTTTGGCCGGGTACCGCGATCGCACCACGATCCTCGACATCGTGGTACTATATCGAGAGTACAGATATTGTTCAAACAGTATCTACGAATCGGGGTGCTGGTGGCTGCGGAAGAGGAAGGGGGCAGCGCCACGGAGAATCTGGAACACGAACAGGTGGTGCGGCATCATCAGTCCAGCGATACGGCGAGAGATATATCGGGAGGAGTAACAGGTACGTGTCACGAAATTACTTTTCTCTCTATAGTCCTGATGTCTCTCCCGCGGTTTCAGTGACGCACGTTGTTTCTCCATGAAGTGGCGAGTTGAATGATTTTAAGGGGGAGTTGCAACGGTATTGTGCTCGATGGGTTGCATGTAGTTGGGGGTACGCGGTGCTCATTTTATGGTAGCTTTTATAGCGCTGCTCGGATGAATGCGAGGCGACTTGTCAGAGTGAGCAGAATTCTAAGGAGGATTTCATGAGTGTTGTTGGTAGTTGACGGTGTTACTGGCAACGGTGAATGTTAATACGAAATACGGTTCTGGTTTAGGACGGACTGTTTGTCAGAGTTGGGCAGAATTTTATTCGAATAATACACAGTGAAAAGCAGCAGTATCTAAAGGTGCCGTATGAGCGTTAAACAGTTAATGAGATTAAATAATTGTTCGACAAATGTCGATTTATTTGTAAAGAAGTAGTATTTTATTATAAAAATTGAAATTTCCACGTTTAAACAATTAAAAATGACGAAATACTTTTTTTTATCTTTTATTCGTTATTCGAAATTTTTTATCTAGATAATGAGTTTGCTCATCTCTGCTGTCTGCGAACTACAGTTCTATTCTATCTTTGAGGTATTTGAAGGAAGGTAGTTGAGAATTTTGTTCCAAATATGCAACAAGTTATGCATATATGTATATATATACATATACGGACGTGTGATGTCAGATTGATAGTCAGAAACGTTGTTCGAAGTATTTGTACAAAGTTTATAACATGTACTGGTCTTTCGAAATATTCATGCATAGATCGAACTTTCTGTTATATTTTTTCTTAGTTTAAATGCTCTTAGTATTTTGCTCGAATAGTACGTGCAGATCGTATTATTTAATTTCTTGAAACGTGTTTTATCATTACCATAGAAATGATTTTTTTTCCTCTAAAATCAATGATATTCACCGTAGGTCGCACAAATAATTCTGCTTGTTTCTCTAGTTAATTTCTCGCCTGGGATTTAAATACAATTCCAAAATTTCTTGTAACCTCATCTCCGCCTTTAATTGGCAGGAATTGACAATACGTCAGAGACTCAAATGCAAGCTTACATGGTCTTCCGTCCTTTTTTCTCGTGTTTCACCGTATCCCTTTATCGGATGTCGTATCGATATTTTCACTGTTCGCTGCTCAATTTTCTTCTTCGTTGGGAGAGGATGCCGTGCGGATTCGATGGTTGCGCTTTTTCTTTACCAAGGACGAATCGTTGATTCGTTGTTCGCCACAACGTGGAAAGGTACGAATTATACGGGCAGACACCGTCTTATCTTTTTCTCACAAACAGTCTCCAGATTGTTTTCCCTGAACGGGTCACGTTCTCTCGTTTATTCTGCAGGAGGTTACGAGGGACGGCTGCTTCCTTAATGTACACTAGGGGCTTCGGAAGGTCTAATCGGTCGCATTCCGCTTTCAGTAAGCACGCGACACTTAATTGCGGGCAATTTTAAACAAGTCTGTCACTCCACGATCGATTTTACGATTAAACGTTTCTTTTCTTTTTCGTCATCGCTCGGGGGATCAAACGGAAGGTATTATTAAGCGATTAAGCTGTCATCGATTCTGTTTTTACTCGATTTCTTCTTTAATGGCGGCAGCTGTTTGTATTGTAATGATAATGGATCACGAATTGGAAAATGTTTGATAACTGCCTTATAACTTGCTATGTAACACGAAAAATGTTGTATTATATAGCAACATGTTATATGACATTTTTCTTTCTGTTTCCCTAACGAATTTTATGATTTCGCTACAGATATAACGTTTTTAACGCATTTTTGACCCTAGAAAATCGCGAAAATTTAAGAATAATGAAGGCAGTTTAATATTATTTCGTCGTTAACTGCATTAAAGAGATACGATAAACGAAAAATCTGTATTCTGAACAAGACAGTTTGCTTTTTCGCTATTACATGCGATGCTTTCTTTTCAAACCTAATCCGAACGGCTCGCCGTAAATCGAGATCGATACTCCCTTATTGTTACAGTCGGACATTGATTGGCCATTGTCCACAGACCGCTACGATAAAGCAGGAGCTATATCCGGTGATCAAACCCTAATTGTTTCAGTATCCCCGAATTTTTACCTTTTCACTAAAATTCGCGAAACGATGCGAACTTTTCACTGTCTTTTTAAACGGGGCTGTATAGAATAAATGAATTAGTGGATTGCTTAGTATATTCTTACTATGTTTAAAGCTCAGCAACATTTGTTTTAACCATTTTTCGATACGACCATTAGATAACAGATAATCGTAAAAATTATGTTTCGAGCAGCGAACTCTAAGAGTGTATGAAAAGATAATGAACTTACGTAATAATACACTTAATAATATTTTAATAGAAGAGGATGCATATTAGTACATATCTATAACAAGATGTATCAAATATTCACATATATGGAAGTCGCGTAAAACTAACAATATTTCAGTAGTAGAATAATATTTTAAAATTAACATAGATACTGTCTACAATTCTCGCACAATATACTCGAAGTTCAAATTGTTAATTCAATATTTACATAGTATCGTCGAATTAATTCTTTAACGCCAGGAGGTGGTCGTGTTTCGTTATGTAATTTTGCCGAGAAAATTATCACGGAGCTTTTATCCGCGCTTTAATACCTAACAAGCATATCCAAGGAAAATATTGTAAAAATGTTCTGCTAACCAGTTGAACTTTAAGGTAATGCTTCTAAATTAATAAAATGACAGTATCGTTTCACCAACCTCGGCAGAAGTTTCCCGTTCGTGAGACTAAAAATAAAAATTCGTCCTATTGTCGCCGGTGAAAAATAATGATTTTCCGCGAATCATATTCACGAGGCAACCGAATCGGGCTTATCGTCAAATGTACGAATGCTCCTATAAATAAAAATCCGTCGATCCCTCTGGAACAGTTCGAAATATTCAATCAGGCTGCGGGTTTATTTTATTCCCTCCGAACGTTGTGTAACGATCAAAGATGGAAAAGAGCTAGGCAGCGATGCAGAAGATTTAATTGCGCTCGGCAAACAGCAAACGCCATCTTCAAAATAAATATTCCCCTATTTGAATGATTTGTTTCATTATACACCGTGTGATTGGCATTCGCATGAATAGGTTCGATGTACAGGGCTTTCCAAAAATATCGTCATTCTAGGATGCTTATATATTTTAACTATGTCAAACAGCGTGGGAATAAGAACTTATGTATTCTTCGTGAAATTATTCATTTTCTTTTCCTACTTTAGTAAACTAAAAATGTGATAAAGTATAAAATCCGCTCTCTACTAGATGAATTTTCAATATTGATATTCCGCTGACGAAAGTTTAGTGTTAACAATTTTTATTCTATATTTTCCGATTATTTTTTTCCACTTATTTACTTCTGAATTGTAACATCGATTTAGCAGCAGCCATATATTCGGTTAAAAAATATATGAAATGATAACGTTACGCGTATGGTCCGCAACGAAGTATGCTTAACGCTATTCATAGAGGAAAAGAGGGTGGAATTTAGTCAGTAAAAAGCCACGTAAAATCTTCGTAGATAAAGAAGTTTGAGCGTTATTTTCTACTTGTCTTATTAGGTTCGCGGGAGGACTTTGTTGCGGAGACCCAAGAAATTGGAGTTCCTAAGGTACTTACGCCACGATAAACGTCTGTGCGCGACGTACACGACAGCACGGTGTTATTTTCTACGCTATCGCATCGCATATATAAGGAAACACCGGACAATCAATATTTATTAAGGAGATCGTCGGAAGGAAGCGTCCTTAGGTAACGACCTGTGAACATGCTCAGCCCAAAGATGCAAAGAACTGGTGAGTTGATAATGATATTATATCAGGACAATTAATCATTTGTGGATTAACCCTACGTTAATATCTTGAGCTATTTAAACACCGCTAGTACCTTGGGGTATTTCATCACCCCATATTCAAAATTTCTTTTTAGAAAGAGTGAACGTTTCTTTATATTCATATATTGTTCTGCAATATTCCTCACTTCATTCCTGAACATCTTAAGTGTACCCTCTAGTCAAAACACTCGGAAAATACGTGATTTTCATGAATTTACAAGAAAATAATGGAACAACAAACGAAAAAAATTCGATGTAAGCCTTATTACTAGATATTTGAAGAAAAAAAAGATGTTTTCATTGTTGGAATTTTATCAATTTCTCCATTAAATAGATTTTGCAGAATCAATATACTGCAGAGCAACAGATGCAAAAAACGGATTATTTCACGCATAAATTTCTTCAGAAATAAACCGAGTGATCCAAATTAAAATCTAAATTAATCTTCGTAGGTGACGCAATAGCGATTTCAATTATAAATAAAATGTCGTAAAATTTTTTGAAATTGGTCTATAATTAAACTTTTTCACGTGAGACCCGTGAACAAAAATCGCATTTTGAGAAAAACACATTAAAAGATTTTTTCTCATTCCCGAGTTAATCGTGTAATTTCATTGTGCTTCATATCATTACATTCATTCGCTCTAATTTTCCACTAAATGGCAATTTTAAATTCAAATCCGTGAAAATTGGCTTTATTAAAGTTTTTGACGGAATGAAAAAATTTTGCGAACTACTGAATCACAGTTTACCATGAAACCACTATAAAAATGCAGGAAACAGTACCACGATCACTTTGCATGCAGCTCGCTGGAAGCTTGAATATTCAACTTGGTTCGAATGCTTTGTAGCTCGGGTATTTCGAGATGGCCGGTTCCGCTGTTACAGAAAGATATTCGCGAAAGCGTGACCTGAGAATGTGCAATAAAACGAGTGATCTTTTCAAGTTTCGAATTAGAAACATCCCCTTGAAGGAGAAAATCATGACGACAGCTTTAAAGAAATCGATCTTTTGCTTGTTAAATTTTCATAAGGCTTAACACCTTAGGAATATACTTTTAAAATATTCAGGTGACATTTGGAAAGGCAAGAGGCTTCGACGATATGAACCATGAAATCGTTTCTTTAGAAATATAGTATGATTTTTAAACTCGAATAAACAACAATTAGATGTAATAATACTCCAGAGTCGATGGAATACATTTCTGCAATAAAAAATGTAATACACGATGTCAAATATGCCACAGAACTTTTATTATACCCACGAAAATATTACGTGTACGCACTGTGTAGAACCACAGTAAACAGTATAGTAATGTCATTACATATTTAAACGTTCAAAAGTTTCACTGAAACCATAAAAGTATAGGATAATAATTTGAACATATGTGGAAACTTTTAATGGCTTTATTAATTGATTGTAGTTCCGAGAAAGGAAATGCTAAATGCATTATCCGAAATTTATAGAAATCGTAGAAATTTCTCTCTACGAACTCTAGAATTTACAAAATTGCATTTTCGTTAGTTCTCCCGAATTTTATTGAGAGAAACAGTTAAGCTCGCTTTTATCCAATCTTTCTACGGAACATCATGAATTTCCACGTAACAGCGAAACACGGGAAAAATACAAATGAAAAACATTGAACAAATCCTTCATACAACGGTTCGTTTTACAAAAACTATACATCTACCGGATATATTTGCGCTTAAAATACAGAGTATTCAGACTCTTATGTTCCAAATAATTTCAAAACAAATTTTTAACATCCGTAACAAAGTGAAAGTTGTATCGAAATATAATCAAGTAGACAAATATTATTTCGGTACACTTTTATCAAAAGTTTGAACAAATATATTGGTATACTTTCAATGAATCGTATATCTATCGATTAGACATCTTTTCAAAAATACCAAAAATGCAGCAATAAATACAATTTTCATTCACAAAAATGCTTCAAATCTCAAAAGAAACCATCGATTGTTAAAAAATTATTTATAAATGAAATAAAGATTTATAATTTATATTTCGCACGGATATTAGTTATTTTAGTTTCTTTTTTTATTTGGTTTCATATGGATTATATTTTCGTAGTTCCACAAATATTAAATATACTGATGAAAAATTTTTAAGTCGGTATAAACATTTCTTTACAATTTTAATTAAATTTTATTTTATTTTTTGTAGGAAATTCAAAAATCAGCTTTTTCAAAGATAGTTTAAAAAACTCGCTTTTGTATAAACTCTAGGAAAAAGTGAACCACAGTCAGATAATTTAAGTTTGTGGAAGGTGAATCAAAACAAAGGAAGTTTCAGTCGCGAATACCCTGGCGGTTGGTCAGTAACGCCAGTATACATAATACGCACGAATAAATTCCGTTCCGGAACAATTAGGGATAAATTAGGCAGCGTAACGCGGTGTGACTCTCGGCTGCGGTATTCTCGGCTATAACCGACGTGCATTTTACGCGTAATATTCATTGTTTGTTGCAGTGAGGGTAAACGACTCGCAGCTCATCATGCTCTCGGAGAAAGCCCATTGCGATCATTCCATAAAAGGGTATTTGCACAAGAGGGCCGCGGACTCGGCTAAGTGGCAATTACGATGGTTCGTTTTATATCAGGTGAGTGAGACAAATCTCTTTTAATTTTATTCGGGGGAGGTATTTTTCCAGCCATTAAACAAATTAGAGGAATTAATCCCGACTGATTTTTGCCGTGGTTTTGGATCTCAAAGGATTTTCAATTAGCGGTTTGCGTGACGACGGAAACTCTGCTATGGGTGAACCTTTGCCTTCGTTATAGAACTGAAGGTGGCGTTACAGAATTACATAGACTTGAAGGAATTACTGTTTACGGTTAATAATGGGAACATGTTGAGTTTTACATCAATGTGTTTAATATTGGGCGTAGAGGAAGTGCTGAATATTTGGAATAGTAACAAATTAAAATTTCAGTTTTATTGTTTCTTTATTGCAAATTACATTTACCGACGAAATTATTCTCGTCCAATACTGCAAGCAACAGATGCCACCTGTGCACGTTGTTGAATGTTACGTCAACATTATGTTTTGCAAATAAATGAAAACTTTTAAAAATTTCTGAAAATTAAATACTTGATAATAATTAAAGTTAGCAAACATTTACAGAATTGTGAAAACCAATTGGTTACACGTGCAATTGTAATAGGACTTGGCTAACGCGTCTGTTCATTGAATTCCATTTCTACTTATTTCCAGCACGAATACACGCGTTTCACCTGCATGTTCAAAATCAATTATGCCGGAATTTAACCGTTGAATCCAGAAATTTTATTCTGCGCTTTCGATTTATTTTTGCACGAGGAATCACCACCATCCTTTCAGTCACACCATTGTATATGCTTTTTGTCAAAAAAAGAACGTTTTAAACCTATAGAAGGTTTATTGAGGGGGTCTAGCAGTAAACGTGATGAGCAGTTATTGGGATAGAATTGATTAATACCATAAAACTGCTAAATAGAGGGTGCTTTTATGCGGTCTGATGGAAAATTCTAACATGTTTCAAGCCATGTTTACATTCACAGGATAATTTCTATGCGAAAGTAATTTTACCAGAAATGTGAAGCACGGACAAGTACAATAGGCATCCTTTTATCCGATCCCAATTTAACCGATCACATTTTCGTCGAGAAGCCCAGCGGAAATCAATTCATACATTCCTCGAATTTAATTGTAAATACATGCAAAATTTGCTAGGTCAGCTGTATACATATAATGCTAAATCTACTGATTAATATATGAAGCATTGTACAAATTCAATTAATTTATTTTCTGTTTATATTAACGTTATAAATCATATTTGGCACGTATTATGGGATTAACTGGCCATTCGTTTTTCTAGCCAGGGATCGGTCAAGAGGGTGTCTACTGTAAATATTATAATATAAATTAAATAAAGGTCATAAAAGACCTTCTCAACAGACCCAATATATTCTACCTCGGATAACTAAGAATGCCGGCGATGCTTGTTTCAGAACTTGCTTTTCTACTACGAGAACGAGCACTGTTCCAGACCCAATGGCGTTGTTTTGTTGGAGGGTTGCTACTGCGATCGCCTCATCACCGCCAAAGGCAAAGAGCCAGATAAACAGGTAAGTGTACACAGCTTTTAGTTGTCGTGTTGTGCTGTGCTTGTGTATACGCGATGCTCTGTTCCGAGGTTGAATTTTTGCAATAGGAAATCATCGATGTGTCGGAGAAATTGCATCGATATTGAACGAGCAACTGAAAAGAGTTATTAAATTATAAAATTGAATTTATCCAAAGATAGCTGGATCTTTGAATCCTGCGATTTTGCAGCGAGTTGCGGCGAATTGGGAAATAATATGTGCTTTAATTTCAAGGATATACATAGATACCTACATATTAACTGCACTTGTTGGAAATCTCATGAATCCATAAAATTGCATAATATTGCATTGTAATTTATTATTTTGAAATAATAGTTCACTTTCGAAGTACCAAGTAGAGCGATTTTTTAAACGCACCGGTTGATTACGTGTTATTTAAAGTATTATTAGATTTTGGAGAAACAATAATGAAGTCATATTTAGAATACTTATGTACCGACCAATCATACTATTCTTTGGTGATGTATTTATAGCACAGAAAAAATGTTTTTACTAAATCTAAGTTTTTCTATTTATTAATACATGTTTTGGGAATACAAAAAATACTTACTGCTGCGCCGTATGGAAGGTATTACTTTAGGACCTTTGTATCTCTGCTAACAATTCGAAGTTCAAGCAAAATCTTTTGCAGAAACGTTTGTCACGCCAAAAAATACTAAATAATGCAAAAAAAAATCGTTTTTTTTCAAACGTCTACACTAGAGTACCCCTTTAACGCTCGGTACGTCTATCCTCTTCGCAAGCTGTGTCAACAACATTTGAGTTGTAGTGCTCGTCAAAGGGTGCAAACCGGGCCTGGGATAATTGCGTTTGCCTTTCGAGGATTAGCGAGGGCAGCCGCCATTATCGCTCAAATCACTCGTTTCGCGTACACGCACGACAGCTGGGTCAAGCGTCATGGGAAACGTGGTGTACGGAAGTCGAGTGCACTCCTGAAAAAATGCGCGGGTACGAGTTCGGGGCGTACGGTTTGTGCTTGTGTTCCTTTGTTTTCGAGTTAACACGCCTATTTACGACGTGTACGGATCCGCATAGCTGCAGACTACTTCGATGTGGGACACTACAAAACAAAATAACAGATGTTAACATGAATAATCCATTTCTGTTATACGAGCCAAAATTAAATTCGATGTATTTCACTGTCACTTTGTATGATTTTGATGCTAAATTTTTATAGTTTCAAATATTCAAATTGAGACAAGTCCATTAATTTAAATTTTCCACGAAGTAGTTAATATACGGTTTCATTTTCTAGGAAAATAATGAACTTTTTGTTTCAAAGTGTCGATAAAAAATCCCTAAGTCAGAGGAAAGACAACCTAGATTCATTTAATATTCTATAATACTGCAGTCCCTGTTTCCAATTGTTTCTGCAGATCATAAATTGGTGGATTCCGATTTGGGTTGTCAGAATGCCATTTTCAATGGAAATATTCTACATGTAACACCTTCAATTCTGAGAGAAAAACGCAAGAATTGAGGTCAGAGAGTACGAGAAACATATACTAAAAGGAATAGCAAAGCCCCTGAATCTCACTCTCTTGGGCAAAAGTGAATTTTCCAACAAAATTCCGTCTCTGCTTTCAAAGTGAGAATGCCTTAGAAGTTGTTGCGAAATAAAGTCTCAGGGTTCATTTCAGTTGAAACCTGACTCTCCCGTGGTCTAGATTTAAATCCACTTCACTGTACACTGCAGTCGGAGTTGGAGAATATAGTCTTTAAGATTCTCGACAGAAATTTGGGTAACCTGAAGAAGGCTGTGGTAAAAGTAGCTTCGCCTGCGAGTTTATACCGGATTTTGTACAGGACAGCCGCTGAGGGTAACACTATTATTTTTCTCCTGATCTCAGCTATATATAAATAAGTACTGATAATTAATTTGAAAATTGTAATGTTTTTCGTTCCTTTTACAATAACTTAATATACTATCCTTGGCCGTAAGTATTACATTGAATCATAAATATTTCCCATTCTGCTTCTTTAACACGTTCACTCAAAATGAAAACTTTCCGTTCACTCCGCGTCGATTAACGATGACCGTCATGTACACTAGACTCCTAATTATACGGCTCCCCTTTAATTGGCCAGATTTTTCTTGATATGAAATATATAGATATCGGTTTAATAACTCGGGATACAATGTAACACACGGAACGAATCACCCATGAAAAGAAATTTAAACTTTTACTCCTTTCAGTGTAAGGGGGAAGTGCCTTGCGTGGCAATATGTTTAGTGGCAATATAGTTAGAGTCCACTATAATACCAAAACCAATTGCATACTGCAGTTGAATTACTGGCCGGTTCACACTATATGTATATCAGTGTTAATGGACCAAATGCGGCATGGGACACGAAGCGACACACGCTAAACCTTTCACGGGTGAAAAAATCGTAATCACGAGAATTCAGGCGCATTTATTTGCTCGGCGACCCTTTGATTCGACTCTAACTCCACGCAAGTATAAACGAAACGTAATATCGATGGATTTTGCGTGGACGAAGGGAAGTTCGTGGAATGTTTACATACACGCCATAGCGAAAGCTTTCCAGCGAGTGCTTTTGTACAATTTGTTATTCACATATTTACATGCGCGTAGCAAGGACGCAACGCAGATGAAAAATTGTATTTCGAATTGATCGATAAACTTCGCTTTTACGTGTTCGTTCCGCTGGAGTTCCTTTTCCCAGTGTGCCTTCGTATGATATACGATGGCACATAAACGGTAATGTCGTTTTCGTAAAACTATTAGGTCATCCTATAAGTTATGTGGCTCTTCTGAGAGTTGAATTTCAAACAATGTATCGTAGACTCGTCCCTATTCGAACACATTTTTGTGATATTGATTTTCAAGTACATTGGAAAAAATAATACAAATATTAGAAGTAAAGAACGATATATTTAAAGACAATTGGGCAAACGATAGATTCACAATTGGTCTATTAATACAAGAGTTCTTATAATTTTTTATATTATGTGTTGTCTGGAATTGCAATTATTCATTTTTGTTAGTAGAATTAAATAAAAATACAAGAAACATTACAATATGAGGGTAAGTTCTCTATTAATTACGAGTACAATACAGGAGATAGTTTTTACTTGATTAATTTGGTAGGTTAGTTCATTTGGAGGTAGTATAATAAATTCACGAGTCGAAAGAAAATATATCAACTCTTTTTATACTACGATGAGATTTCTTCGTGAATGTGCGTGATGTAGTGTATGAATTCTGGTATAGATCATCAGGCAAATTTTAAATCTAAATAATTTTACTTGTAGATTCATACTGATTGTATATAAACACGCGATATGTCGATAACGGAACGTTTCAATGTGAGACTACGGTAGAACCTCGATTATCGGAACATCCATTATCGAAACGCTCTGTTAACTGAACATTCTTTCATCGGAACGTTCTATTCTCCGAAAAATGTATTTCATACTTCGCGTGTACGTACTCCACGCAATGTCTAGATCCTGCCACGTTATATATAGGGCGTCCCAGTTTTTTTCCACAAAATTTTGCCAGCGTATTCTATGAGTAAAATTAAGAAAAAAATGTTACGTAACTATAGGCTCTTAAATGCTTCATTTCAAAGTTATAACAAAAGTACGAAATGGTAATAGCGTTCTTGTGATTGCAATGGTTAAATTAATACGTGTCAAAAGTATAGTTATAGTTTAGTGATTATTTTATAGGAACTGTCTCGTGCCCTATGATTACCGCTTGTACGCAGATTGTTTCGTTTCAGGCGTTTCTGACTCAAATTTTGAACTGTTCAAGTTTTGTGTTTTAGTCTTACTTTGGCATACAGAATCAACCATTAAAATGTTCAATACCAATAACCAAACACCTTGTGTATTTTATGATTTTATAAATAGCTACAATAATAACTTTTTTAAATCTTCATTACGGTACATACTTTATTGTATTTTATTTGTTTTTATGCAAATGTAATGGCTTATATAATTTTTTGTCATTTTCCTGCAAAACTTTCATATAACAAAATAAGGTAACGCACAGTCATTACTTCTATATATAAATACGTTCATAAAAAAGTCTGCCTATTCATAACGTACAATTCAATTTGTGATGTACATCGTTCGTAGCGTGAAAAAATTCCGTCGTACTCATGAAGGATTAGCATGGAAGGAAAGAAAATATCTTCTGCGGCGGTATGCCTCAACTTCCAAACTAATTACACGTGGAGTGTTAACGCGTAAGCTGTTTTATCGATTTCTGGAAAGGTCGCTTGACAGGTCGGCTCTTCTGTTACATTTTTCGCGCCCCGTTCTTCGTGCATCTTTTCCATCTGCAGAAAACGATTATAAATCGTTCATGCACCGTGCAAACTGTGTCAGTCCTCGCGAGTTGCTCCCAGAAAATATGATTCCTTTTTATTTTATTCTTTTACGCAGTACGTGTTTTAAAATTCACAGTGCAGTTTTCCAACGTCGCTGGTAATATCCAGCTTCATTAGACATGCAAATTGCGTGCAACATATCAACCGTAAATGTATGTTTTCCTTTCGATCCTGCATTAGAATAGAAAAATAAACTGGCCGTGATTGTTATTAGTTCAATTGAATTATTTGTTCCATTGATAACGAATAGCATTTATTAAAACGGTTGTTAAAACGAACACGTGGATAGTAGGTACAATATTTTGTAAAAGTTGTTTGTACGATGTTAGAGAGAATTAGAAAACTTTCGATAAATTTTATAAATACATATATTTTTTTAATACACGATACGTATTAAACTACGCTTATTGTATTGAAAGAAAAAAGAAAACTATCAGCTGCAAGATATGATTAAGTCAGTTTTAATGAACCTCCGGCAACGCAAAACTTTTCAAAATCGACTGAAGCTGATAATAAAGCTATCTTGCGGAGTAGACGGCAGTCAAGCTTCATTTAACACTCATGCTCAGCGAAATGAAGCTCACTTTCTCAGCTGCGC